CTTCACTCTCAGCTCTGAAAGAGGAACATTGGCAGTCTTATGTGTAACGTATTGTTGTAAACACAAAACATTTTTCAGTAACTCAGTAATGTAATGTGTTACTGTACTAAATTCACTAATCACATTATACAATATACAATTATGTCATTACTTGCATTGCAAAGGTTTTTTCTGTTATCTGCACACCGGGAGGAAAGAAAGAAGAAAAATTTCAAACAAATAAGCTTTTCCTTCCTGCTACAATCAGCTGATTTCAGTTTGTGTGCAGGATTAGGAAAAAGGTAGAGCGGTCTACAGCCTCTCAAGATTGTAGGCAAAGACATTACTTTTATCTTTATTGCACGTAAAGACAAGAGCGCGATGATAAAGTGGAAACTGCATCTAGAACAAAAAAACAACTGCGTTATGTTGCTAAAACAACTTTGGATCTTTGCAAGCATCTGCACCGACTGAGTGAATGCTGACTCCAGCCCAGCAGTCTGAACTTCAACAGGTAACAGAGGCAGTGATGAGCAGACAGGCTGCAGCCTCTGTTTCTACCTGTTTATGTTTCTAAAGTAGAATCACTCTGGATCAATTTAAAGTTTTTTGTGCCAGTTTTCGTCTTTGCTTTGTGTTTGCAGATTTGTGTCCATTACAAAATAGTAATGAGAAAGATCATATGTGTCTTCATTAGAACAGGGATTTGTGTTGGCGTGTGGGACTTTAACCAAAGGTATATACTGTTAACCAATAAATAATGGACAGTGCCAAAAGGTTGATTCTGGTCATCTGGACGTAGCGTTTTCAGTGGCAGAAACGTTTCATCACTCCAAGTGACTTCTTCAGTCTCAGCTGACTGCAGGTTTCCCCAACGTTATAAACAGTACATTTGCATAATGACTGAAACTAGGTCAGTTCCTTGATCATTAACATGCAAATTAATATGCCATGAAAACGCTACATCCAGATGAACAGAATCAAGCTTTTGGGATTGACTCACCTGGATGATTGAGCATTAAGACAGATAATTGACAATGTTTTTCAGTTTTAATTTACAGAGTAATGAGAAAGCAATGGAGTGAGCAGTGTAACAAATCCCTTTCTTTGGTGAGTAATTGAGTGACGTACTGCATTACTTTTAAAAGAAGTAATGTGCCATATATTCTTTTTTTGAGTAATGATACCAGCACTGATCA